GCTAATGACTTATGAAATGAAGAAAGAGATAATTGCAAAGTACGAAAGTGGAGTGCGTGTGTCAGAGCTGGTTAGGTTGTATAATAAACCCCAATCAACCATCTCTACTACAGTGACCAGGAAAACGGCAATCAAGGAAGCTGTTCTTGCAAAAGGTGCAACTGTGATTACGAAACAGCGACCGCAAGTGTTAGAAAATGCTGAGAGATTGTTATTGGGTGTGGATAAATGAAAACAGATAGCAGGAGATAGCATCTCTCAAGTGATCATTTGTGAAAAGGCTAGGCAGTTGCATGACGATTTGGTAAAGAAATTGCCTGCAAATAGTGATGATGTGAGTGAATTTAAGGCCAGCAAAGGTTGGTTTGAAAGATTTAAGAATCGTAGTGGCATACATAGTGTGATTAGGCATGGTGAGGCTGCCAGTTCGGACCAAAAAGCAGCTGAAAAATATGTGAAGGAATTCAAGGATTACATAGACAGTGAAGGACTGAAACCTGAACAAGTGTTTAATTGTGACGAAACAGGCCTGTTTTGGAAGAAAATGCCAAGCAGGACCTACATTACTCAGGAGGAAAAGGCACTCCCAGGACATAAGCCTATGAAAGACAGGCTTACTCTTCTCATGTGTGCCAATGCTAGTGGTGATTGCCAAGTGAAGCCTTTATTGGTGTATCACTCTGAAACTCCCAGAGTGTTTTAGAAAAACAATGTCCTCAAGGCTAAATTTGTGTGTGCTGTGGAGGGCAAACAGTAAGGCATGGGTCACTAGGGACTTTTTCTATGACTGGTTACACCATGCATTTGCCCCCACTGTGAAAAATTACCTAACTGAAAAGAAATTAGACCTTAAGTGCCTCCTGGTATTAGACAATGCCCCTGGTCATCCTACAGACTTGTCAGAGCGACTTTCTGGGGACATGAGCTTCATTAAGGTCAAGTTTTTGCCTCCTAATACCACTCCTCTCCTGCAGCCCATGGACAAGCAGGTCATTTCCAACTTCAAGAACCTGTACACAAAAGCTATGTTTCAAAAGTGCTTTATAGTGACCACAGAAACTCAACTGACTCTAAGAGTTTTGGAAGGATCACTTTAATATCCTCAATTGTATAAACCTGATAGGTACGGCTTGGGAGGGAGTGACTAAGAGGACCTTGAACTCTGCTTGGAAAAAACTGTGGCCAGAATGTGTAGACAAAAGGAATTTTGAAGGATTTGAGGCTCACCCTGAGAATCCTATGCCAATTGAGGAATCCATTGTGGCAGTGGGGAAGTCCATGGGGTTGGAGGTTAGTGGGGAGGATGTGGAAGAGTTGGTGGAGGAGGACAGTGAAGAACTAACCACTGATGAGCTGATAGATCATCTTGAACAGCAAGAGGGCAGACCTGAGGAAACTGCTTCGGAGGAGGGGATAGAGAAATTGAAGAAGTTGCCTACTTCAAAGATTAAGGAAATGTGTGCAATGTGGCTTAAAATGCAAACCTTTTTTGATGAAAATCACCCTAACACAGCTATTGCAAGCCGTGCTGGTGACTATTACACTAACAATGTTGTGAAACACTTTAGGGATGTCATAAAGGAACGGGAGGTACAGGCCACTATGGACAGATATGTTGTGCGACAGAAATCCAGTGACTCTGAAGCTGGTCCTAGTGGCATTAAAAGAAGAAGGGAAGTAACCCTGGAAAAGGACTTGCTACCTCAAGTCCTAATGGAAGGGGATTCCCCTTCTAAACACTAACACCTCTCCCCTCCTCCCATCCCATCAATCACCACCAGATCTTCATTAAAGGTAAGTGTCAATTATTTTATTGTTATTATTCTATTGCATTAAACTTAATATTCCATGTAGTAAAATTTTTTTTTTCATACTTTTGGGTGTCTTGCACGGATTAATTTGATTTCCATTATTTCTTATGAGGAAAATTGATTCGGTTTTCGATATTATCGGTATTCGATGAGCTCTCAGGAACGGATTAATATCGAATACCGGGGGTCCACTGTACATCGCTAAGTGAGGAGATGCTGTATTGCAAAAATTGTATAAATAATGTCAACGCATTTGTGGAGATGTATTTGACAGACCAGTCAGATGTGTAGTGGACGAGTGACATACTTTGTGTACTCTGGAAAATTGGTAAAAATTTAACATTTCTGCTACTTAGAGCTCAATTTCAAGTTATTTTCAGTCCTGAAACCATTCAAAATTATCTCTACTTCTGCCATATATCTTCCATTCTATCATACGAGACCAAGAAACCAAAAATTCACCAATAAAAACTATATGAAAATACACCGTAAAGTCGCTACTTTAACCCTTTCACTGTCAAGACGCCCTGCTCGCAAACTTGCTCTCAGTGTCAAAGAATTTAAAAAAAAAATAATTTTTTTTTGAAATGATAAGAGAATCTTTTCCCGGTGGTAATGAAACCAAAAGTACGAAATTTGATGGAAAACTTATGGAATTACGCTCTTGTGAAGTTAAAGGTCCCGGAGATATTTAAGCATCTGCGATTTCGCCCAATTGAGCCCTATTTTGGGCCAATTCCATTGTTCCAGTCGACTATATTCATAGCTATTTTACTAGCACTCCTTTTGTTCTACCGAGTACAAGAAACTGCCCATTTACCTATTACAACAACCCAATAAAGTGATCAGAAATTAGTAATTTGGCCAATTTCGTACAAAATTCAAGAAAGGCCAATTTCAAAATAAGGTCCACAATAAACAATGCAAATATTCCTAGTGCTTCAATAACATTTTCTCTGTTCATTATTTACATCTCCAGGCCCCTCTTATTATTACACTTGCTTTCCATTTTGAATTTTTATTCACACAAAAAATAGAAGATCTACTATTAATGCAGAGTACTACTTTATTGTAAAAATGGTATAAATAATATCAGCTCATTTGTGAAAGCATATTAGACCCACCAGTTGATGTGTACTGGATGCGTGACATGATTTGTTTACTCTTGAACATCATCAAAAATCGAACATTTCTGCTACTTTGAGCTCACTTTCAAGCTACTTTCAGTTTGTAAACCATTCAAAATCATCTCTATTTCTGTAACATATCTCCCATTCTATCAAATGAGACCAAGAAAACAAGAATACAACCATAAATACTTTACAAAATACACTGCAAAGTCATTGTTTTAACCCTTTGGCTGTCGCAAGCCCCTTTCTGAAACTCATTCTGTCGCAAAATTTTTTGGAAAAAAAAAATTCTTATGAAATGATAGAGAATCTTTTCCCGATGGTAATGACACCAAAAGTACGAAATTTGGTAGAAAACTCACGGAATTACGCTCCCGTGAAGTTAGTGGTCTCGGCGATTTTGCCGACTTTGAGCCCTGTTTTTGGCCAATTCCGTTGTTCCAGTTGACCAAACTCATAGCTATTTCTTTAGAACTCCATTTTTTCTATCAGTTGAGTACAAGAAACTGCCCATTTACCGATTTGAACTACCCAATCAAGTGGTCAGAAATTGGCAATTTGGCCAATTTCACACACATTAAAAAAGATGCCAATTTCAAAATAGGGTCCAGGATAAACAATGTAGACATTCTTGGCACTAAAATAACATATCCTCTTTTCATTAGTCATGTCTCTAGGTTCCTCTTATATTACTATTGCTTTCTATTTTGATTTTTATTCATACAAAAAATACAAAATTTACTGTTATGCAGACTACTGCATTATTGTAAAAATGATATAAATAATATCAGTGCACTAGTGAAAGAATATTAGACTCCCCAGTTAACGTGCATTGGATGTGTGGTGTGATTTGCTTACTCTTGAACAATGGTAAAAATCAAACATTTCCGCTACTTTGAGTTCAATTTCAAGGTCGTTTTCATCGTGAAACTAATCAAAATCATCTCTATTTCTGTAATGTGTTTTCCATTTTATCACATGAGACCATAAAAACGAGAATACAACGATAAGTATTATACGAAAATACACCTCAAATTCGGCGTTTTAATCCCCCCCCCCCCAAAAAAAAAAACGGTCGTTTTTTTTTTTCTCATTATGCACTGCGTGCTGCAGGATTTTTTTTATGTGGTGCACACTGACCATACAGACCCATTCTCTCACATGTGGGCCTACCAGCTTTCTCCTGCTTGATTTGAAGCCGCTAGAATTTATGCGTATTAATACGTCCGAAACACTGGCTCGTAAGATGTATATATACGACCAAAACAGTCAAAGGGTTAAACCAAAAACACAGTCGCCGTTTTTCTCATTATGCACTGTGTGCTGCAGGATTTTTTTTATAATGTGCACACTGACCACTCAAGACCCCTTCTCTCATATGTAGGCCTACCTGCTATCTCCTACAAGATTGGAAGCTATTAGAATTTGGGAGTAGTATTACGGGACCGACTCTGGCTTCAAAGCCGTAATATTACGGGACTGACAATGAATGGGTTAAAGTGCAGGCATTGTACTTCCTACCTCCAAGACTCAATTCTGGATAACCAGTTTCCCTGAATTCCTTAACAAAATATTACCCTGCTCACACTTCAACAGCTTGTCAAGTCCAAAAATCATTCATTTCCACTCATTCCTATCTAATATGCTCACACATGCCTGTTGTAAGTCCATGAACCTTACACACAAAGCCTCCTTTATCCTCTCCCTTCATCCTTTATTTTTTTTTTTTAACAAACCGGCCATATCCCACCAAATTTAATAATTTATACAGGAGAACGGGTTACTAGACCCTTGCTCCCGTCATTTTAGTCACCTCTTACGACATGCATGGCTTATGGAAGAAGAATTCTGTTTCACTTCCCCATAGAGTCCATCCTTTATATATTTATTTTTTAACATGCTGGTCATCCCCCACGGAGTCATGGTGATCCCCCCCCCCCCCCCAAAAAAAAAAATTCTTCTTTTTTTCATTTAGTAATTTATGCTCTAAGCCTTTTAGTCACCTCTAAGTATAAATAAGTAAATTACATATAAATAAACAAAACATCCACAGACTTACCATAGCATTTAACTGTCCCACAACTTCAACAATTTGCTTCAGCAGATGGTTTTGTAGGAGTGGAAGGTGTTATGTCCATTGTCTTGCATACCCATCCAGCAATATCCACATCCTCTTGTTCAGCTCGTTTTATCCATTCATGGTTCTTATAAGGAAAAGAAACATATTGGTACTTCATAAGGACAAGTAAGGTCCTATATGTTAGTGTAGTGTAAGACAAAAGCTTATACAGTGGACCCTCCTTTTCATTATTAATCTGTTCCAGAGAGTCTGAGGAAATGTGAAATTGATGAAAACTGAAACCATTAATTCAATTAATTCATCCCAAAAGTATTAACAAAGAATAATTTTTTTAGAGAAATATAGATTTACATACAGAAATGAATGACAAATATATTATAAAGCATGTATAACATGTATAAATGAACATTTAACATCACACTTACCTTTATTGAAGACTGTTGATGGCATCTGGAAGATAGGGAGGAGTGAGGGAGAACTGATTGTTTGGGAGGGGAATCCCCTTCCATAAAGACTTCAGGTACCAAGTCCTTATTCTGGGTTACTTCCCTTCGTAGTTTTTTAATGGCACTAGAACCAGCCTGAGAGTCATTGAACCCCTGTCACACAAAAGAACTGTCCAGAGAGCTCTTGCAGCTCTACCCTCTACCACAATCACTATCACCCTCTATCGCCATCACTACCACCCTCTACCATCACAACCACTACCACCTTTTATCACCATCACTACCACCCCTCTTCTGCCATCACTACCACCCTCTACCACCATCACTACCACCCTCTACCACCATCACTAACACCCTCTTCCACCATCACCACCACTACCACCCTCTACCACCACCACTTTCACATTTTTCTACAATCTTTTTCTTTAATTCTATCATGTTTCTCACCTTTACCAAAGGACTGGCACTAGCAGCTTTCTTTGGGCCCATAGTGGCTTATTTAGCAGTCAAACAAGGTAAACAAGTGCAAAAAACAATGAATTATGAAATGTTTCCTATGACCTCGCAGGATAATGTTCACTCGCCAAGAAACATAGCGACACTGCCTTAGAATGCATGTGTGGGAGGTTGTGTAGCCGCAGGCACACAGACATGTTCTGTACCACCAACGAGAACGGAGGAAAGTAACGAAAACTGAGCCAATATTTTTATGAAAAAAGTCAGTGATAACTGAAATTCACGAAAACAGAGCCCAACGAAAAGGAAGGGTCCATTGTATAGGGTTAGGAACTGGTGTATGTATTAAACTCAAGATTGAATATCATTAAAATGAAGATGCATGCACAGGGCTCTGGTGGCCTGGTGGTTAACGCTCTCGCTTCACACGGCGAGGGCCTGGGTTCGATTCCCAGCCAGAGTAGAAACATTGGACGTGTTTCTTTCAACCTGTTGTCTATGTTCCCCATCAGTAAAATGGGTACCTGGGTGTTAGTCGACTGGTGTGGATCGCATCCTGGGACACTGACCTAAGGAGGCCTGGTCACAGACCGGGCCGCGGGGGCGTTGACCCCCGGAACTCTCTCCAGATAAACAGTAATGTATACTTTGTCATTTTGGGGACAAATGAATAATGTTAAGATGTGGGAGCACTGAAGCAGAGTTATTTCACTTCCAGTCTAAACATTTAACAATGACAATAAAAGTGTACCTAGGTAGTAGGCTGGTAAACAGCAACCGCCCAGGGAGGTACTACCGTCCTGCCAAGTGAGTGTACAACGAAAACCTGTAATTGTTTTACATGATGGTAGGATTGCTGGTGTTTTTTGTCTGTCTCATAAACATGCAAGATTTCAGGTATGTCTTACTACTTCTACTTGCACTTAGGTCACACTACACATACATGTACAAGCATATATATACACACCCCTCTGGGTATTCTTCTATTTTCTTTCTAGTTCTTGTTCTTGTTTATTTCCTCTTATCTCCATGGGGAAGTGGAACAGAATTCTTCCTCCGTAAGCCATGCGTGTTGTAAGAGGCGACTAAAATGCTGGGAGCAAGGGGCTAGTAACCCCTTCTCCCATATAAATTACTAAATTTAAAAGAGAAACTTTCGTTTTTCTTTTTGGGCCACCCTGCCTTGGTGGGATATGGCCGGTGTGTTGAAAGAAAGAAGAATAAAAGTGTACTGAAATTTCAATATAACATCGTTTAAGAACATATCAATATTAGAGGAAGAACAAATGAAATACCCATATTTCAGAAGAAGAGTAAGGGAATGCTAAAACCCTTAGAGATTTGGATGTACTCACAAATTTCTACTCATGGTTGCACAGGTAGAGACTAGGCTCCTGGACCCACCTCTCGACTTGCCACTTGTCAGATTCACTCCCTCCTAGCCTCATTCGCCCTAATATACCTGCTCTTAAAACTAGGTATGAAGCTTTCTCAAACCACTTTGAGATCATTTCACTTCCTAACCACTAAGAGACTGAGAAATATTTCCTAAGATCCCAGTGGTTCACTTCCATCTTTAACTTCCAGTTGTGTCCCTAAGTACCTGTTTCTCACCCCTCAAACAGCCTCTCCATGTTCCCCGAGTATTTTGTACCCATTAACCCTTTGAGGGTTTTCGTCGTACTAGTACGTCTTACGCGTAGGGGTTTTTGACGTACTAGTACTCATAAATTCTAGCGACCTCAAATCTAGTGGGAGAAAGCTGGTAGGCCTTCATATGAAAGAATGGGTCTATGTGGTCAGTGTGCACAGTCTAAAAAAAATCCTGCAGCACACGGTGCATAATGAGAAAAAAAAAACTTTTTCCATTTTTTTTTAATAAATCAGCGACTTTGCAGTGTATTTTCGTATAGTATTTATTGTTGTATTCTAGTTTTCTTGGTCTCATTTTATAGAATGGAAGACATATTACTGAAATTGAGATGATTTTGACTGGTTTTACAATGAAAGGTGCCTTGAAATTGAGCTCAAAGTAGCAGAAATGTTCGATTTTTACCAAACTTCAAAAGTAAACAAATCGTGCCAAGCGTGCAATACACGTCAACTGGTGAGTCTAATATTCTTTCACAAGTGCACCAATAATATTTATACCATTTTTTACACTAATGCAGTAGTCTGCATAACAGTAAATCTTATATTTTTTGTGAGAATAAAAATTCAAAGTGGAAAGCAAAAGAATATAAGAGGGGCCTTGAGACGTGACTAATGACTAGAGGAAATGTCATTTTAGTGCCAGGAATGTCTTTCTTGTTTATTCTGGACCCTATTCCGAAATTGGCATCTTTTGAAATTTGTGTGAAATTGGCAAAATTGCTAAATTCTGACCACTGTACTGGATAGTTGAATTTATAAATGGGTGGTTTCTTGCACCCATTCGATAGAAAAAATGGAGTTCTAGCGAAATATTCATGTTTTTTGTCGACTAGTACAGTGAAATTGGCCGAAAATTGGGCTCAAAGTGGGCAAAATCGCCGAAGCGTAAACATCGCCGAGACCGCTAACTTTGCGAGAGCATAATTCCGTAAGTTTTCTATCAAATTTCAAACTTTTGGTGTCGTTATGATCGGGAAAAGATTCTCTATCTTTTCATAAGAGAAAATAATTTTTTTTTTTTTTTAAATTTGGCCGACCCTGAGAACGAGTTTCAGAGAGGGCCTGTCGACCCTCAAAGGGTTAATTTCTTCTCGTAGCTCAGACCCCTTAACTCTGGAACAAGCCTCTTTGAATTCATCTCCAATTTCTGCAATTCCTTAGCATGTTTTTTTAAGGTGTGAATTTCATTCAGGAGATGCAACTCTAAAGATGGGTCTGACATAAGTTGAATAAAGGGCTCCAATGACTGCTGAGATTCTTGAAGGCCACTTTAGATTTGCCCGAGAAGTATTGACTGCAGAGGTTATTTAGCTAATGTGAGTCTCTGGCAATACAGCCTCTCCTTGCTTGCCAATGTACTCATTTACCGACAGCTCAGAGCTACGATGGGCTCTGTAACGAGTCGGTATTGTATGCCGTACGAGAACTTGGGTCATGGAAATGGGCAGCGTGGCGTCTCAGCATCAAGCATCTCAATCTTCTTCCTACAGCCACTCAGTGTGCTAGTTTTCACAGTCTCCAAGACTACATATTTGTACAAATGTGTACTTTATTGTGCGTCCCATAGTACAAGTTAAAGTTAGAAGTGCAGCAGCACTTGGAAGAGAAAGAAAAGAGGAAAATGGAAGAAGTACAAAAGAAGTTCACAGTATAGGGGTTAGCTGGTGTGTTTCTCTGTGTGTTTACATTCTCTCTGTCTCTCGTGGCATCTTAAGAAATTATTCAACTTAGTGAACAAGGTATGTCAATGGTAATATGCAATAATAATAAAATAATAATAATTGCTCTGGAGCGCTTTAACCCTTTCAGGGTTTTGGACATACTAGTACGGCTTACGCACCAGGGTTTTTGACGTACTAGTACGCCTAAATTCTAGCGCCCTCAAATCTAGTGAGAGAAAGCTGGTAGGCCTACATATGAAATAATGGGTCTATGTGGTCAGTGTGCTCAGTATAAAAAAAATCCTGCAGCACACAGTGCAAAATGAGGAAAAAAAAAAACTTTGACAGTGTTTTCGGATTAAAACAGCGAATTTGCACTGTATTTTTGTTTGATATTTATTGTTGTATTCTAGTTTTCCTGGTCTCATTTTATAGAATGGAAGACATATTACAGAAATTGTGATGATTTTGTCTGGTTTTACAATGAAAAGTACCTTGAAATTGAGCTCAAAGTAGCAGAAATCTTCAATTTTTACCAAAGTTCAAAAGTAAACAAATCATGCTAAGCATCCAATACACACCAACTAGTGAGTCTAATATTCTTTCACAAGTGCGCCGATATTATTTATACCATTTCTACACTAATGCAATAGTCTGCATAACAGTAAATCTTTTTATTTTTTGTGAGAATAAAAATTCAAAGTGGAAAGCGAAAGAACAAAAAGGGGCGTGGGGACGTGACTAATGAACAGAGGAAATGTTATTTTAGTGCCAGGAATGTCTTTGTTTATTCTGGACCCTATTTGGAAATTTGCATCTTCTGAAATTTGTGTGAAATTGGCAAAATTGCTAAATTCTGACCACTGTATTGGATAGTTGAAATTGGTAAATGGGTGGTTTCTTGTACT